TAACATACATGAACGCTAAAAATGTTCATTGTTTTTGTCATAAAGTGACCTAAACATGTGTCTATGATGTTGGCTTGTAGTATTGACAAGTACAACTTTGACAAAGTAAGTATCAAAGAAACACGGTTCCCCTCACTGACGAAATTACTTGCCGGATTCGCAAACTGTCAGCCGCAGCCTGCGCATATTGCCATCATCTATCTTAACGTGTAAAATATGTTATTTGCTTCAATAATATTAATTACTCATTGACCCTAACATTCATGAAAGGTGTCATTACGTGTTAAACATCATTTACGTATTAAAAAATATAATCATACATTTGGAAATGCCTGTAGGGCTAGACAAAGCATTATCACTTAAGAACAAAACTCTAACTTCGATACATTAACCTTCATTATATACAAATAACAGCATAATAAAATCTCATAAAACTACCTTTGTTGAAACTCTACAAAATCAATTTGTAAGGTAAAATGCAAAATTGCTTGTAGTTATGGACCAATAATCCAACGATCAGTTATGAGATTACTTTATTGTTAGGGTATATATTAATATTCATGTGCAGTGTACTGTCTCCTCACTAACACTGTCATGCAAGTATTCAATAATGAAATACGCTATGTGCTAACGCGCCAAATGTAGTTAAGCTGACGATGTAGTGATTCTCCTTTTAAAATGTTTTTATCTTTTCTTTGTCGTACTATAATTACTATCAGGTAGTGAGATCTTATTGCTCCGTACTTTATTATTATTTAGTATTTAGATTGTCCAGCTCGTTGCGATTCGTTATTAATTTAGAAACTAGATAAATAATTAAATAATTTTAATAAGTGGATATATGTTTTATGACGATGGTTTGCTTACACTAACCTTTTGTGTACCCACAACAAAATGACTAAGGATTGGAAAACACCAGGAGATAAGGGTTTTTTATTTCAACCTTGTATTTACCATTTTTATTTTTATGAGTAAGAGATGGAAAAGTAAAAGTTTAGCTAGCCTATGAGACAAAAAGACTGATTAAAACGTTTCGACGTAGAAACCTAGGTTGTTACTCTAAAATAAATTGGATAGTAAGGCAAGCCTTAGATTTAACTATGTTCAATAACGATCCAGAGGCATATCCAAATTGTATTTTAATTCACCGTACTGATATAAAAAAAAAACTTTATCGATCTTGTAGATTCATTCATGCTGTACATTAGATGATTTATGTCTAATAAATATCATACTTTTCTTTAATATCCTTCCTTTGTTGACCAACTTTTAGTTACATATTCATTAAAAGGAATTTTGTCATACAAGCATAAATTATATTAATAAAATATACAGTTAATGCATTAAATTTAAATATATAGAATTAAGCAAATATTCAAAGGTTAATAACGGTAATAATAAAGGTAAAAGTGTTTACATTATATTCCTAGGATTACTTCTAATCAACTGACAGCATTGTGAGCATGGTCAATTATTAATTCTTAAATAGATAAATGAGGCTTAAATATGTTAAGATTATTCATCAGCCAACACATGTTACACATGGTTATTTAAATTATCCCCTTGACTGTATAAGGATTTCCTTTGTTATTCCAATGTATGAATATGTCACATGTGAGTTCTGTTGTTGGTTGTAATGTTCTTTTACTCACTAAATTATGTCCTGTTGATTAAATACGTGGTATTCCACTGCTTCGTTAATTATAAAGACTAAAATAATAAAAAATAATAGTTTTGAAAAACACCATTTCCTAACACAGGTTGTAGAATACCGTTTTCAAGCAAGGTTGTTATATGCAGTTCACCAACGCAGCAATGACAAGTTTATTGATGTTTAAAATAATAGATTATTTATGAATGACATTCACGTGTAACAAAATATTCTGATACCTGAGGGATTTATTGGTGTTCATATTTATAGTTCCAGGCTAGTCATGCCTAATTTAATTAACTAACAAATACCACTGAGAAATAACAAAAAGACAAAATGAAGTAATCAAACATAGGTACTTGCTGAGCTGCCTGTAGATGAAAGCAGTAAAACTCATTTCAACTTAACCTTTATCTAAACGAAAGTCGATGATACGTTGGCCATTAAGTTCGCTTTAGTCTTGACTTGGCTCCGTTTACTTTTAGCCTATTATCGATTCATAGCGACTGCTTACAATTTTAATCCATATCATAAAAGTCATCTTTTTCGATGAATATATAACGTAATACAAATTTTCTTATATATTATTAAGCGATAAAGTATATTATGTATCACTACCTATATTCGTTGTGCCCCATTAAAACAAGGCTTGAGACATAATTTTACTTTTGTTCTCATTGTGTATTGCCATAAAAAAGTATAAGCAAAAAAATCTGTCTTGAATGTAATATCAATATTATATTTTTCTATTATGAAACATTTTTTCGAAACATTGGTGGTTGTAATAAACCAATGCTATTTTCTATTAACAAACATGTTCTTCCCCATGTAAAGTGTGTAAAGAACAATTTATTTATTCAAAAATTGTTTGATATTAAAATTGTAGGCAGTACATTATTCTTTAATTGTGTGAATTTTGGAGACTACGCCATTTTCGGGCTGTAACAAAGTCAATATTTGGTCACGCACGAGTCTACGTCTATCGTGTGACACGAACACTGTTCCACTTGGACAAGTCTCATGTTTACATTGACAATAAATTTACAACCAAATTGTCAATTAATTTTCAAAGCACTAATGTAAAATTATTTTGGTAAGTTCCATTGCAGTTATCGGTATGGTGCAAATTTACTCATTGTAAACTATTAAACGTTTGGGTTACCGAACGGCCTCCTTTTTGCGTTAACGTTCCGCAGTTTTCTCCTTGTGAATTATGTTGTAATTAAGCCAAGCTACCATGTTTGGTAATTTTTTTTTACATAGTGAGGATCCACGTTCATATTTCCACATTACATGTCAAACTTTTTCTATTGAATTAATATTTAAATCATATTAATAAGAGGTTGAACTACCTATCTGTCAGAGCAATCCTAGATTCGTGTTATGGTGACCGGTTTTGTCGTTATCAAGCAGGGAAGAAGTGCGTTGTCTTACGACAAAAATCTCAATCGTTGACACATTTGACACAAATTGAAATTGCTGTATTAAAACATTGAACATTGAAACCGTAATTAGATATACGAAGATGTTGTACCTTGACATGATTTGAATCGAGAGGTGTATTTATGTGAAAGGATATATGCATCTGGGAAAGGAATAATAACCGATCTTGATTAAAAACACAGCTAATTAGATTTTCTCTAATCATACTAAGCTTACAAAATACATGTAAAGATGATTGATTTTGAAAAAAAATGCATCGACCTTTTTATTGTACATAAGATACTGTGTATAAAATACAAGTTTTTGCAACGTAGGTCTGAAGTACATTGTTTGATTAAAACGAAAATCCCTCTCTAAATTTTCGCCCCATTAGCTTTAAAACTACTCATGTTAACTTGAAGGAGCTATCAATCCATCAGATTACAAACTGATCAATCTTTTCAACGATTTATCTAGAAAAGTCAATATAAACTTTTATTTTCTAAAATTTAATTACGTAATTAAAATACATATCTCTTTGTCTTACTAAACGTCTATTATGTGTTATTTTATTTTGTGAAAATTGGAATGATGACAATATTTATTATTATAATTATTAAAATATTTGCTATACAATCTATCTGGCCTTGGAAAGTAATGGGCCTACAATCACAGTTATGAAAGACTATGTTTTTTATTAGATAGTATTTCTTAACTATTTGTATGTACTACATTATTGCTAGTCATAATTTCAGCTTTACAAATATGTATGACGTATGTATATCATTGCATATTCTCTAATTTAGAGAACAAAATGTCTGAAATAATGTAGGTATTAAGCTCGGCGTTATTTGAAAAAAGAGTCAATGTGTTTTGTTGGCATAGTTTTATAATTGTGTGGACACTTTTGAATGAGTCTTATTGATCAAAGCAACCCCTACAGCTTTCCTGGAAACCGAACATGCAAAGGTTGAAAAATATTACAATAAATAGCTTCCATAGGATATCATCAGAAGTGGGTGGATATTTATCCTCTTTACCTTGCACGAGGAAATTCGTAAAATATTATTAATTGACATCGTTATAATATTAATACATTTTCATAGCTTCAACTACCTCTGAAGAAACGCAATAGTGGCCCAGTGAGCCCGCAGTGTAGAAGGATTACAAGGGTCACTGTTTGTATTTCTTGCCTCTCAGAAACCCTCTCAACATGTTTAGCTACTTGCATTAATTATTGTTTTACGTACAGTTTTGAAACGTAAGGACATTTTTAACATTTAGGTTCCACTGATAGGAAATAAATATACACTTAAATTTTGAGTTAAATTAACAGTTTTGTTATTTATGTGTTTATAAAATACAGTACCGATAGTAAAATAAAAGATTTAATATTTTGACCAATGTTTTTATTTTCTATTAGGACGGTCCTTTCTAGTATTTATCCATTTTAGCTGTTTAGTGTTAAACAAAATCGAACAAATCTTTAGGTTCTTTCAAATGTCGTTATATACCCTCGCAAGCTGCTTTTTAAGTATCTCTAAGACTTGTTGTTTGTTTTGCATTGCCCTTAAAATTGTCATTTTGTGGATTTAAGGCAAAACACCAGTTCATTTCTTCTATATCAAAATCATGTACTGAGTAGCTCTAAAAAATAAACTGATTCTTACTTTTAAAAACTGTGTAGTACATTTAGTATGGGGTACATGGGGTATATTTACTGGGGTAAATTTATGGGAATGCAAATGTAATACCTTGTATCGTATGTACACTATTGTATGTGCTCATGGCGATTCAATATAGTTGACGATCAGTTGGCGACGAACCCACTGAGGCTGTACTCTCTAGGAGGTTGGGAGCTTTGATAGGCGCTAAGCTTGTAGGTGGCTTGCTGCAGGCTGATTCCTCCCTCCCTTGTGTGTTCCAGTCCCGGTGACGGAGGTTGAGGCAGTGCTGGGAGCAACAGTCAAGCTGCCGTGTGATCTCTCCCTCCCAACCGACAACGACAGGCTGTCACTCATCATCTGGTACAAGAACGGCGCCAAGACTCCAATTTACAGGTGCCACTAATATTGTATACGAGTCAATGGTGTTTCAAGACAGGTCATGAGTAGACATATGCTGATAGACCACTACAAGAAGTAGGCTATGAAGTTGCGTTGGTTAGAAAGTTGACAAAAACTAAGTTTAGGTAACTTATGGATTTTAAATTCACTGCTAAACAAAATGAAGTAATATTTGTTTGATCAGTTGTAACAAAGGGCTTTTAATTTGCCTGTAAAGATTACATGGAATGACAACTGCTTTATGAACAATTGCAATTTGAAATACAGAATACATAATGATTGTTTAATTGATTATTGGAGTTTGGGTAAAAGATTTTATTGAACCCGTGAACCACACATATATACAACAATGTGTAAAAGTGGAAAGCAGAGGATATGAAAATTTTCTGTAAGGACATCGGCCGAAATATAATCTTAACCAGGCGCGGAACCACCCCGCAGGCCGCAGACGTAGCGTTGTAAGTTATGTGCAGTGATCGGTTGAAGCGTAAACGTCGTGTCGAGTTGGTAGTCATAGTCAACAACCAATGTATAAAGGGTGTCCCGTAACTCTCTGGACACATGTTTATCGTGATTGCCTAGGCCAGTACAAACACATTTCACCAAAGGAACATGGGTCTGTGATGCCTAATTTTCCGCCTGTCTGTATTTATGCGTTTTTAGCAAATATTCAATAACTCCTAAACAGTTTGAAATACAGCGTTGGGTTTGTAATAAATGTTTATCTTATTAAGACATATTTTTACCTAAAATCATACTAAAAAATCATCAACCGTTTTGAAATGGCGGCCATGTAAAATATTTGATGCCAAATTTCACGAAAACCGTTAACTTTACAACAAATTTACACGAGACAAAAACGTTAGTAAATATTATGTAGTTTTCAATGATACCTTAGGAGTTAAGATTGAATAAATAATAACGGAGAAAGGTGATGTTTTCGTAACGCATGGCCACTTTTCTCCATTTTATCTAAACAATGCTAGTACTCCTTTTACATTGTCTAATTATACCTTAACGATCATTTGTTTTATGTAAATCAGGAGTTTTAAAACATTACAGCTGATTTATTTATTTGTTTTTGTTATTTATCAGTATAAGTTGTTGTTTAACATTAATCTTTAAAAAAAAAACAATATTGATAACTAGCTGTTGTACCCGTGCTTTGCAACGGGAAGAGGACACAAAATAGAAACATTTGAATCTTTACATCTGTTGCAAATAATAGTTAGGCTACACATCCGCCAACGCTTTTAGAAACAAAATTCAACTTTTATAGCCTTAGTAACGTTTAAGTTATGACTTTTAAATCTGGTAAGTAGTGGATACCACCTTTTTGGTTTTGATTAATTTTAAATCTTGTATATGCTAATATGGGCAAACTGACCAAATCTTTGAAAAAAAACTTTGACATACATGATTTACCTTCATCTCCCTTGATTACATATCTTTTAATTTATTATTGACATTTTCAATTTCAATTTTGAAGTTTAATAAGCAAAAATACTGATTATTAAATTTAAATAAACATTTTTTTCACTCTTATTTATATTAAATCACAAATCCTTCCATCTTCAGTTTCTTCACTCACAATAAATCATTAGCAAAACTAAGTCAGCTGTTATAAATATTGCTGTGAATACAGTCTTTTGAAATATTTAAAGAAACTATATCTATAGGTACTATACAAATTTTTAAACAAATAATTTAGCATTAAAGACAGCAAACAAAACTAATGTGATTATCAAAGCATCAAGGGCTAAAAAATGTAATAGAAAATACAGTATATGTTTCATTGCATCTCTGATTCTACTCTACAAAAATATCATTAAACAACTTAATATACAAACCAGTTATTTTAATCAGTTCCATCCCATTGCCTTTACATTTTCACACTTACCAATAATTAAACATAGTAACAGATATTTAATTGATTATAGAAACAAAAGAACACTGTGTACTGCTTAGTTTTATGATATTTCCCTTGGTTTAATTTAATCAGTGGTGTGGCAAAACACGAATAATAAATGTATCAAATAAAGTAAATGTGAACTGAAAGCTATGTTAAGATAAAATAAGAGTATTTTGTATTACCATTTAATAATTAAATATAGTTACACATATACAACAGATTTTAGATACAAAAATCAACGACCTACAATTTAGTTATTGATGATATTCTTTAGTTTAATTGAAGCATAGGTTTAGCAAAACACAATAACTTAATTTTACCTAAATATAAATTATAAAAAACAATGTGATGTGCAAGTTATGTTAAGTTAATCTAACACATGTTAAGCAGTTAGAATTTATTTAAAGCAGCCTCCAAATTCATACAAAACATCTATATATTGTAATTTTCATACTTTGTCCATGAAAACATATCAATAACATTATTTTCATAACTTAGTCGCTTTAAAAAATCCAAAACAGAGCCGGAGTTGATACAACAACGGTTACAGAATCTTTTTTTTCTATAAACATTGACATAGTTTTAGAATAAATATTCCATGATAAAAGGTTAGATTAAAATAAACCTACCTCATAGTTATGGAAAATATTATATTTAATTTCTTTGTATCAGCTGTCTGAAATTGTGAAATATGCAGTTAAGCAGTTCTTCTTGTTTACATTTAAATGTCAAAGCAAATGTAAACAAACATTGTTAGTGTTCTCATTGCAGCCATGGAGACCAATCAATATTTACTTTTAAAATGTTCACCTCAGAACTTTTGTAGCCAAAGGGGCAAAGCCTACGGTCAGTATCGAAATGTGGATAGTCCTATAATGGTCCTTGGTATGGTAACTATATGTTTGTAAAGTTTAAGCCCAGTTGGTGCAGTAGTTTTTGAGCCTATTAGTAACACACATACAGACAGACACAATTAGATTTTTATATAATAATGTAGATGTAAACATTTATTTGCAATTTATCTATACTTCTATACTATTATATAAAAATCTAATGGTGTCTGTCTGTATGTGTATTACTAATAGGTGCAAAAACTACCGAACCAACTGGGCTTAAATTTTACAAAAATATAGCTACCATACCAAGGACCATTATAGGACTAATCACACCACGATACTGACCGTGGGCTTTGCCCCTTTGGCTTTAAAGTTTCTGAGGTGAGGATTTTCAAAGTAAATATTGATTGGTACCCATGGCTGCAATGAGAATACTCACAATGTTTACATTTGCTTTGACATTTCAATGTAAACAAGAAGAACTGCCAAATTGCATATTTCATAATTGAAGACAGCTGATCCAACGAAATTAAATATAATATTTGCCATAACTATGATGTAGATTTATTTTAACCAAACCTTTTATCATGGATTATTTATTGTAAAACTATGTCAATGATTATAGAAATAAAAAAATAATTTCTAAAAGTGTTGCTGTATCAACTCAGGGTCTGCTTTATATTTTTTAAGTGTCTTAAGGGTTATGAAAATAATGTTATTGATATATTTTCATGGAAACAGTAGGAAAATTGCAATCTATAGATGGTTTGTATGAATTTGGAGGCTAATTGAAATAAATTCGAACTGCTTAACATGTCTTAGATTAACTTAACATAACTTGCACATCATATTGTTTTTTTTTTACATGTATATTTAGGTAAATTTAGTAATTGTGTTTCGCTAAACCTATGCTTAAATTAAACTAAAGAATATCATCAATAAATAAATTGTGCATCGATTTTTGTGTTCTAAAACCTGTTGCATATGTGTAACCACATTTAATTATCAAATGGTAATACAAACTACTCTTATTTTATCTTAACATAGCTTTCAGTTCATATTTACTTTATTTGATAAATTTATATTTTTTGTTTTGCCACACCACTGATTAAATTAAACCAAGGAAAATATCATAAAAATAAGCAGTATACAGTGTTTTTTTTTTGTTTCTATAATCAATGAAATATCTGTTACTATGTTTACTTAATGGTAAGTTGTGAAACTGTAAAGTTAATGGAAGATGGAACTTATTAAAAGAACTGCTGGTTTTGTATATTAAGTTGTGGGTTGATATTATTGTAGAGTAGATTTAGAGATGCAATGAAACATATACTGTATTTGTTATTATATTATTTAGTCCTTGATGCTTTAATAATCATATTAGTTTCGTCTGCTGTCTAATGCTTAATTATTTGTTTAACATTTTTTTATAGTATAGATATAGTTTCTTTACAATTTCAAAATACTATTGAAAAGGCACACCAATATTTCTAAAGATTATAACAGCTGATATTTTTTGCTTATGATTTATTGTGAGTGAAGAAACCACAAGATGGAAGAAATTGTGATCTAATATGAAAAAGAGTAAATTAAAAAAACGGTTCATTTAAATTTAATAATTAGTATTTTTGCGACATCAAAATTGAAATTTAAAATGTCAAAAATTGAGAAAAAAGATATGTAATTAAGGGAGATGAAGGTAAATCATGTATGTGAAAGTTTTTTTCGAAGATTTGGTAAGTTTATCTCATATCAGCCTACACAAGATTTAAAATTAATCAAAACCAAAATGGTGGTATCCACTACTTATCAGATTTAAAAGTTATAACTTAAACGTTTCTATTAAGGCCATAAAAGTTGAATTTTGTTTCTAAAAGCTTGGCGGATGTGTAACTATTATATGCAACAGAAGTAAAGATTATTTATTTTTAGCGAATTTCCCTATAGGGAAGTAGCTATTACCGTAGGTGGCACGGTAAGACCTAGACCCGGGACCGATTTACTTTTTCATTTTGATGTCCCCAGAGGCCAAAAACACCATTCGTTCAAATTTTTATATATGTATATATATATAGACTTATATATATATATATATATAGATATATATATATATACGTCCGTGAACGCGATAACTTGAGTAATTTTTGTCCGATTTTGATTAAATTTGGTTTAAAGGTGTAAAGCGGGATAAACTTGAATGAGTTCGCGAACCAGCACGATCGGACCATGGGAACGGGGCTTTACGGGGGGTTTTATGGGGTAAAAATTGGTTTTTCTCACTTTTGACCCTCAAAACACAAAATTTCCCGATTTCTCTTTTGACCTTTTTAAAGAGCTTAAAAAAACAAATTTTTTAGTATATAAAAGTATTTTTGTTCGATTATTAGTAACGGAGAAAATTAAAAAAATTGTAAATTTAAAATTCCCATGTTATTCTTATGGAGAATATAGTCAAATGTTGTAGTTTGCTTGTTTATGGATTTATTTTGATCAAACTTGGCAAATTTATTTATTTTGTACTAAGCTATCAATATTTTACTCAAATACACACTTTATTAGTTTCCTTGTAGCAGCAAACCTATAGGTACTCGTTAAACCTAATGTTATTAAAATATATTTAACTGAAAATCAATTCAGACAAATGGAAATTCGCTTAGTCGGCAGGTTTGCTGCGGCGGGGGTATTTTTAATATAATATAAATACCTCGTCACATCTCTGAAGTTTCTGTCTATTGGTAAAGATTAAAATGTTTCTATTTTGTGTCCTCTTCCCGTTGCAAAACACGGGTACAGCTAGTAAAATATAATTGGACAATACCTTATTTCTTTACTTACAACAACTGTAAAAAATGACAACTGTTGCTTATAAATGACAAAACAAATGAATAAATCAAATTATTGATATGATATTTAGAATTGTTTAAATGGAGAAAAGTGGCAATTTCATATTCTTTTAAATTAATAATTAATTGATAATTAATAAAATTATAAAAATAAAAAAATAATAATAACAATTGTTATATACATACAGTTTTGAGATTTTTGGATCATCTATCACACACCAGTTCTAACAAACTGACGTGTGATTTTTTAAATTAAAATGTTTGTAATAAATGGATCTGATAGAAGAATATAATAATATTGGAGAATGTAAATTAAAAGAATATATACCATTAAAATGTTTATAATTGAATACAAAATATAAGATTGAGAAATTTGAAAAAGTTAAAGATAAATATGGACGCACAATTATTGGTGAATTAGAAAAATGTAAAGTTCATTTGCCTTATAGATTTATTAACATTTTTGATGAAAAAACAATTATAGAATTAAATAAAAAAGATTTAAACTTAATTATTACCGAAATAAAAACATTTAAAGATAAAAACTGTTGTGGTTAGATTTTAATAATTGAATAAAATATTGGAATTTTTACTTGTTTTAAAAATCATTTTATTTTGTAGACAAGTTTATGGAAATAAAAGCATAAATTATAAAGATTTCATCAATATTTGAGGTTTTTTCTGATAATGTTGAAAATTTGCCTAAAAGAGGCAAAATTTTATCATATTAGTGTCGAAAAACAGGAAATTTTATTAAATTATTTAAGTCTTCCTTTTTTGCGCTTGGAGTGACATAACATTACTTAATTTATATATATTATTTGTGGTTTAAAACACGTTGAAATTCATAAGGAATTTGCATTTACAGCTCAGAGAATAATTAAAAATATGAATTCTTTCTTTAGTCTGTTTTATTTATACACTCGTGAAAGTGGTTACCTGCATATCCAAACAGATTGATATGCCGCTGGCGTCTAAATGGTTCAATCGATTGACCCTTTTGGAGCTCCAAGGGCTTATCTAAACGATAAAAACAACCGATAACTGATCGAACCTTATGTTCATACTCAATGACCAAGGGTGTTTGATTATGTAATGCGTTAGGCAAAATAGTGCTGCACCCAGACAGTGGCAGACACTGACTATAGAAAATTAAGTTAATAACATGGCATTTAGACTGTTATGGATGGATAAGTCCTGAGGGATAGGTTAAACTAGCCAAGGCAATAAAATTATAATCAATCCTTAAGAGCAACACGTATACCACGTAAACACAAAGAACAGGTTGAGGCCACATTGTTTGAAAAATATTGATAAAATTGATAAAAAATGGTTTAAGCAATATACATAATGTAACATACACAATAATATTAACTGGCGATTACGAAAAATATACTTTCATGGACAAATTTAGGTACACAAAACGTTAGCAAAATAAAACATAAACCCTACATACGAGTAAAAATAATTATTAACATTTATGTATGTGTGTATATGAAAAATACCCCCCGCAGCAAACCTGCAGACTAAGCGAATTTTTGATTGCCTGATTGGATTTACACTAAAATGTCTCCTTAAAAATATCGAATTTATTTTTTATTTTAATAGAATTAGTTTAACGAGTACTTAGGTTTGCTGCAACAAGGAGGGTAAAAGTGTATTTTCGTTAAATGTTAATAGTCTACGAAGAAATAATAATGCATTTTCCAAATTTTATAAAATATTTTAATAAACAAGAAAGCTACAACAGTTTACTTATTCTCCATAAGAATAACATGGGAATCTTTTATTTTTTTTTCCCATAGCCATTAGGCGCATAACAACGCTTCAATATACTAAATTATTTGTTTTTTAATCTCTAAAAACAGATTTGCAAAGAAATTGGTAAATGTTTGCTAGTTCGCGAAATCGTCCGAATAAATGTAGGTTTACTCGTATATACCGAATCATCAAAATATGATCATTTTTGCTCGAGTTATCGTGCTAACGGACATTAAATATAAATTTTAAAATATATTAATTAAATTTGTTAAAATATTAATTAATTAAATATGAATTTGAACAGATGGTGTTTTTGGCCTCTAGGGACCTCAAAACGAAAAAGTAAATCGGTCCCGGTTCCAGGTCTTATCATAAGTACTACGGTAATAGCTTATTCCCTATATGAGAAATTCGCTTAAAGTTATAACCGTCCAATATAAAAATAACATAAATTAAACAATTTTTTTTATTATTACGTATTCAGTTATCAACTCAATTTAAGTAGGTCCACCACGAGTTATCCTTGTATAACGATTTGATACAAGATTAAGTGGCGTATATTTATCATGTTAAGGACATTAGGGACCAGAGGCCAGAGAATATAGGCCCAACTCAATGTCGCATTTCCCGACAGAGGAAGTATTAAACAGGCTTAGGAAATCATAGAGATTTAAAAACAAACAGAACCCTAAATTAGTAATCATCATCAATCTGAATCGTTTTGTATTTAAAGTTATTGATTGCATTATCGTGTATAGCATCGTGAATATAAGAATCGATAGCTTAGATTTATTTTGCATAATTAATGCAAGTGCAGATGCACTTTTGCTTTTTACTGAAATCAATTATGTAAAGGTTCCAAAGACAAAGTTTTGCTTTTTAAAATATTAAACTTTAATGTGGGTAATAGTTTCACAGCAAAAAAAACGAGAAGATCCTCAAAAAAATGTTCCTCCTACCAGAAATATTGGTGGTGGTGTTTTATGAATAAGAACCCAGCCATCCTTGGTTATTGGGAATTGGGATTATCACCTAGTCGTAGTTAGTAGTGATTCTGTTACAGCAATCGTTCAAACATGTTATCTTGCAATTGTACTCTACATATATTACCCTTCAACTAATTGTCTTACGATGTGTATACAACACAGAATATATCTATCCATCTATCTACAACTGCCATAGAACTAACAAAGTCAATGTATACGTGTTCTTATGTTTATCAGCTAAGGGAGTCAAAAGGGAATAATTTGAAGTTGCTCTGTTCAGTTTGGACGTACGGGAGCGTGGGCTGGGCCAGGGTAAGGAGATCAAGCAGACGGAGGGTGCGATGTCATACTCCACCAACTTTCCTGAGAGTGTTCTGATGTTAGAGGGTGTACGGGACCAGGACCGCGGCCTATACAAGTGTCGCGTCGACTTCAAACACTCTCCTACCAGAAACGCACATGTAAACCTCAGCATCATCGGTGAGTAGAGTTAAAGTCACCAACTACCTCAAACCCTAAATAGACACTAAAGAAGAATATGCTTAAAATATTTATGTGTTGGAGATAGGCTATTCCAAATGACAGAATAATGAAACGGCATACAATTTACGTTTCGGCTCTTGTACAACGAGACGTTCAAAGTAGTACAACATTTTTGTGCCACACCTATATTAAGTTCGTATTAGGCTCGTTCAGTATTTGTTTTACATAACTTCCTAACAAGACAATTAATCAATTTATTCACCCATCGATAGTCAAAGTACAACAGTGTAATGTTTAAGTGGTGCTTGAAGTGCTTTACAATCCATTTGCCTCTCATCTTCTTAGCTTATCTAGAGGCAGCGGCAGCCTTGCCTGTCCAAGAAGACTATATTAATTAAACTACTTTCCCAAGTAAATCTGACTTAAGTTTAAAACGTAGATTTAAATACGTTGGTTAAAGAACATAACTACTTAACATTTATTTTTGGCTGACATGTAAATACATCTTCAATTATATAAATGTTAAACCTTCTGTTCAAACGTTTACTTACCATATTTAGCCTTGGTATACCAGTATTTTTAGAGAATGCAAATATTTGCTTTTATACCAGACAAATTGGCACTAATGGTACAGGCATTATCATGGTCAGTGTTTAAAATATAACATTTTATGTTTCGCATGATGTGTGAAATGCCATAATTTCAGAGGCGTTTCGTGTCGTACATAGTGGATAGTATAGGATATACTTAGTAAGTAATTATTAACATTACTTTGGTTTCTAGAAACTAATAGTTCTTGTAATATATGGTCTGGATAAGATTCTCATACAGTATGTCTTTGTTTCACACAGTTCCTCCGACGAGAGTGACCCTAGCAGACTATTCAGGGCACACCCTGCCTCAGTCCACCGTAGGGCCCGTGGCTGAGGGCGTCGCTCTGGAAGTCGTATGCATCGCTCATGGAGGTAGCCATTTTCATATTTACTAAGATTGGTACACACCATAATATCCCTAATAGAGCATCAGAAGTTAGATGACGTGCAACTCTAAAATTCATTTACTACTTAACAAAGTGAAATTTATCTTTGACATTTATACTACTTATTGAAAGGCATTTTAAGTTACGAAACATTTATGCATATTCATTTTAATTTCCTCTAAAATTTGTGTTTTTGAAAATTCTTTACCTCGTAAATATATGTATATGGAGTGTGTGAATTCTAGTCATCATAATAAAAGGAAAACTGTCAAAACTGTTAAATCGTGATACAGATCGAGTGCAATATATAAAACTACATTTTCTTTTACATTGTGATTAGTATCCCGTAATTCCCTATTTTTCAGGTTGGCCGAGTCCACGACTGACGTGGTGGCAAGACAACGACATGATAGACGACTCCATGGACCAGCCACAGGAAGGTCGAGTCAGCAACACTCTCACCATCAACCCAGTGACTCGGGGACACTTGGACTCCAAGCTAGAGTGTCGGGCCAACAACAGCCCCCTGCTGGACCCCATCGTCGTCTTGCTCACTCTCGATATACTATGTGAGTATATCAACAATTACAACATAATACGATTTTACTAATATTTCATTAGCGATTTTACAATTTTATGATGCCGTCACAGATTGATTTATAAGTATACAAACTTTCCTTGTAAACAATATTTAATTTCTACATGCATGTGTTTCGATTGCACTCAAACATTTCAAATAATAAAGACGATATTTTGTGAGACGCACTCACTACTGTATTTTCATACAGTAGTGAGTGCGTAATGAGTGCGAGACGAATAAGTCCTTAATTTCTTAAGGACTTATTCGTCTGGCAGAAGCATACATGTTTATAAACAACCTCAGAATATATAGTAGTGAGAAAATACTGAGTTAGAAATAATTTTGTCTAACTTTATACAACTAAATCTACAGTACTACAGGATTGATTTTGGAAGTTATGGTCGTTGGAAAGTTTGATTTATTACAGATTTATGGTGAAGAATTTATAAGAAAAAAATTGAAAACGGCTTTTTAAATGTTTTATTTGTAGGCTGCCTTTATTGAGTATTTTTAAGTAATTATATGAAAGTTTTATTGTTCTAATATTTATGAATAGTATGAATAGTAATGGGTTAGCCGTTATGAACAATATGGTCATACGGAATATGTGTTATTTAACAGCTGATTGTTGTATTGTTATTTCCTTTGATTTTCTTTGTTTACATATTCTTGTTTACAATATGCATTTGTTGTTAAAGTTCGTCCTTTATGTTATGTGTGTGTTTCTAATGTGCATAATATGAACCAATAATAGAGGGTGTTTCAAAAATTAGTTTTCCGAGTAAGTGTATTTGTTTGAAGCAAATAATAAATCCATTTCATTTATATTATAATTTATTGAAACTGAATTTACATACATAATTTACATAATTACATAATTTACATAATTTAATTTGTGAATTTACACTGCACATAGGTTGTAAACTTAAAATAATTGTTCGAAATGCTTTCCACTAACTTCAGTACATTTTCACGGCGTTTTTTACACTCGCAACAATCTTTTTCCACAGATTTTCATCGTTGTTAAATTCTTCAAATTCTCTTGTGAATTGATTGGTTCCCAAAGTCCTGCGATCTTAACGACGTTAAACTTTTCTGTTTGGGGGATCATTAAAAATAAAACAGTTGCCGAACGGCCCCTGGGTGTTCTGCAATTGAGAGCAGCCATCGCAAGATAATTTGAAGCCTTAAATAAATATAAAAATCCATGCAAAAAGATTGTTACGAGTATAAAGAATGCTGTGAAAATGCATTGAAGTAAGTCTAAACCATTTTAAACAATTCTTTTAAGGATAAAAAATATTAAGTGTAAATTCAGTTATAAATTTATAATATAAATAAATTTGATTTCTTATTTATTATGTTTTTAGAAATAATGGGGATTTTGTTTTTCAGTGATCCCAGTTGAGGTGCGGCTCGTAGTAGTCAATATGCCTCTGAGTGCAGGCTCCACTTACGAGGTGGCATGTCGTAGTGTTGGCTCCAAGCCACCTCCTAGCATTACGTGGTGGCGCTCTGGCAAACAACTACAGGCTCCTACAAGGGTCGTGGTAAGTATAAGAACAACTTAAGAAAAAATACCAAGTCTAAAATATTATGAAGGGTTTTTATCACGTCACAACATTTACATTTTAAAAATCGAGTAAATATAACTGTGTCGTTATAATGAGCTTTATTTGTCAATACTACAGTATATGTTTACTTTATGCTGTTTATTCAAATTATTGGTCAAACAATTGCGGTTATTTTGTGTTACGTGTTCTAGTGATCTATGTAGTACATTGTTTAAAGAAGATTTTTTTATTGTATGAAGGCAAATATAATGTTGTCACCACAGGATACCTATACTTCTGAGCACTGAGAAGGAAGACAACTCCGGCTATTGCTCCGCTGTGATTAACCCCCTTAGGGCACTTCAAGACTTATGTTCTCTAAACACATGCACATCAGCTGACTAGTGACACATGTTTGTTGCAGACTAGTGAGGATGGTAACGTAACGACAAGTACTATTTCACTAACAGTAAGCATGGAAGACCACGGCCACACTCTGTCTTGCCGTGCAGTAAATCCACACATCCCTTCTAGCGCACTGGAGGACTCCTGGACCCTCAACACACACTGTAAGCAGCTTCAAACATAAAAAAAGTAAATGAAGTGTTAGACATAATGCTATTTTTTCTAAATACCCTTAGTAAAGTATAACAGCTTATATAATTCCCAATAAATACTTTTGGACATAATATGTTGAAATTTATATTTAATACACTGCAATGATAAGATATTGTCTATTGGGCATTTACACCAATTATATTTCTAGTCGTATAGTATTTTTTTTACATAGTATTAATAAGATAGCTTTTATGTTTGACGAGCTTATAAAATATAAGTATCTCAAAAAATCTTTTTTTTACGAATACAAATTCCTCATCATGTTTTTGATTGCGGAATGTGAAGTATATAGAATAGGACCGACTCAAATTTCATTATGAAATCCCAGACGATAAAGCTAACGGAAGGTTGGCTGTAGTAAATTTTATGGTTTTAGTTGTCTCATAATATAAAGAAAAACATTACAAAAGTAGAGAGAAATCTTGTATAATATACTGAAGAATTCTATCCACTTAACACGTCTGAAAATTTTGCTATAAACAAAACTCACTAGACTGTGTTAAAAAAACAAGTTTTACTATCCAAAATACTACAAAATATAATTTAATCTATACCAAAACTACACATTGGCTGATGTACAGCTCAAATCTTAAATTCAGGTTTGAAGCCATCGGAAAATACCCTTTAGCTATTTCAAACTATATTTCTTAGCCCTCAACATAGTAGCAGTAGGTAAAATTAGCCAATATTGAAGGATGGAGACTATAATGTTTCTGCCGTATAGACAGGCCCGTGGCGAGGGTGGAAGTAGGCAGCAGTCTCAACACTAGCACTCTCCGTGAAGGTATGGACGTTTACCTGGAGTGTAATGTGGACGCTAACCCTCAGCCGTCCAAGATACAGTGGATCCACGACGTGAGTACATCACACTATCATCTGCTGTATAAGTTTGGTCTAGTAACGATACGTAGGATCAGTTTTATAATTTGCATACAGCAAAGCCTTAGTGGGTGAAACCATAGACTAAGGAAACAAAAGTAATAACAATAGTCCCCCTTATGTTTCCTTAGTCTATGGTTAAACTAAGTAACTTCAAACATAAGCAGGCCTATTGCATTATTAATGTATAAAACATACATAGCAAGTTAAAACTGTTTTCGTGTTTTCGTCAAAACAGCGTGTTTCCCAGAGTGTCGTTGATAGAGAAGGTTAAATTGATTTTCCACTACTACAATGTATTTGGAGTGGAACTAAATTGGAAAGACTTCTGCCGAAATAACACTAAAACTAGTTTTCCAATAATACAATAATTTTCCACGCTATTTTATACAATTTAAAAACGGATAAACTTATCAATATTATTAGTAGTAACAATTTCAAATCACAAAATAATGTACAGTAATATTTCCATACTCATACTTTGCGTATATATAAAGAGATCACTTGTTTTATACAAAACACCATTGATGAACTGTTAATTGTAAGGTAATCAAGCCGTTATGTTTCTTATATTATCATCAATTTTGTACGGATAAGGTAAAAACTAAAACTACGAATTCACTGGGAACTACACATATATAGGGTATTAGCTTATTAAATAAGTAATTAAAGCTACGATTACGTTCCTGTCCAGCTTTGTTAGTTAGAATATCCGTAATGATTTGTTATTGAACCAATAATTATGGCAAGTAAACACTCCTCAAAGTATAATTATTAGGATATGCTTTGATGAGTATTAACTTGTGCTCGACGTTATTCACGGTCGCAATGTGACTTCTTAAAATACATTCCTAATTGCCACTACGAATCAACAAGTTAACAATGTTGAACTGGAATATTTTTTAATGGTATTGGATTATATTTCTAGTACAAACTGATTTAAAATGGTAGAATTTATTTGATATTGGTATTGTTCGATTACAGGGTAAACCAGTGACGAACAACGCCAGTGCAGGGCTACTTATCACCAACCACACATTAGTTCTACAGGCAGTTAGAAGAGAGGGTTCCGGGGTGTACGAATGTTCGGCTACCAACATCGAGGGTGAAACCAAGAGTCCACCGTACAACCTCAATATTAAGTGTAAGTGAAATTTGTATAACTCACAATGTTAATTGTGTAAGCTTAAATTAAGCTTAAATCCTACATAATTGTAATAGCTTAAATTACAATATATTGGCCGATAAAAAAAATACGGAAAACTTTGTTTTGCATGACAAAATTCCAATAAAAAACTCCATGTTCCTAAAGATCAAAATGTTAAATAGTTGATAAATGACGATTTTTAGTTATGCAGGTCAGGCAAAACATTATAAGACTAAGCAAATAGTGATCGATTTGTTCCGCACCAAAAAATTGTGATTTCTAAGTTATGTTTCTCAAAGAAACATAATAGTTTTGTTTTTCGGACATTGGCTGAAGCGAAATGCTCAGACCGTGCTTTGGGTAAACTGATTTACTAAATGGCCGAAGTCAAACCCTTCATCAGCGATTGAGCAAATCCAAAATACCCGTGTGAGCAAAAGTGATTGCCCACGTATTGATTAAACACGGGAAAACTGTGTAACTTCCTAAAACATTTAGAGAGAAAAAATGAACATGGAAAGAAAATTAACCCCTGTTTCAGTTGGAGACTATGTTGGTCAGTAATTCTGAGGATTTGATCGGGGACGAGTAGCTGCTAGAACTGAAATAGCAGTTGTTGTTTATTAGAACAATGACTCCTACACCCTTGGTACAAAACTTGGGAACGTGCGGTTTACTTTTGCTCAAATCTCGTTGTGGGCATTTTGGATAGGCTCAATCGCAGAAGAAGGTTTCGACTTTGGAATTCGAGTAAATCAGTTAACCCTAAACGTGGTCCGAGCATTTCATTTTGGCCAATGACTGAACTAAATGCTCACTCCATGACGTCTTTCACACTTTCCACTTCGTGAAAGTGGTAAAATATTCGGACATAGTCTGCATTTGGAGTGTGAGCGTAACATATATTATAAAGAATCTAGAAAATGTATCTTCGTTGTTTTAAGATGTCAAAAATAAATTGGCTAAACTAAACGAATGTAAATATACAAAGACTGTTTTAATCGGTTGACATCGCCGAATTGGTAATTTAATTATGCTATTGACTAAACAACGAGAGAATCCAGAGATGCTCTCTAGTCTTTCATTATTTAGTTCTTTCAACACAAAGCTTAGAGAGGGTTCAGTTTGCTCAGTGGAGGTTAAGTCAACACTTCTCCCTCATCGCTCACAACTGTCGTCGAGTTTATTCTCTTCAGATATTTGATTTTAAGATATATATTTTTCTATAAAAGAAAAGTCATTAGTTTTTCAGTAGGTAGCTTAAAACGCTGTAATAACATATATTGAGGTTTAAAATCAGTATTAAAATTTGCCGTGAACTGGTTAAGGTAGAAACATTATTTGTATTAGCTATTATTTTGTTGTTGTTAACTAATATCATAAAACTACTTTTTTATTTATGTTTATTTTTAAACAAAATTACATGTGCTAAAAGAAGTATGTTGTTAATATTTTGACAATAGTATTTATATGACTAGTTGTTGTAAAGGTAAGATATATGAAAAAAAATACTGAAGATTCAAACAGAATATTAATTACTGTATATTTGAATGTAAAACAACAACAAAACAATCAACTGTAAACGAAAATATTTTTGTCATTCTGCAAGAAAACAGCCGCTGTCTATTCATTCTAGGTAAAAAGTTGCATTTTAGTCCCTGTAGTAAAAAGTATTTTTTGTCCCTAGGGAGTAAAAATCAACTGTTGTAAACTGCTGTAATCGGATGGATCGAAATTATTTATAGATTGATTAATTAGGTATAGGTTTAGTTTATTGTTAAGTGCTTGTCAATATCAGTAGGTTGACATATCGATGGTATAATGTACAGTAATCGTAATGGAAATCATTGAATAACCTACTAAACAGCTACTTATTTACATTAGCAGAATTAAAAACAAGCTAGAAGTCGTTATGAGAGGTTACTTTACATGAAAGGTATTATCGTTTTTGCTGAATTTCTCAACTAATTATGCAATATGACGATAAATATAACTCATGACACGGACAACAAGTGTATATTCAACCCACGCTCGTTTTCCATCCTCAGCTTCGCCTCGATCGTAAAACTTGAGCTCGGGTCGAAACAAGGCACTTTACCCTATAGTGATGAATTACACTGTTATCGTAAATTAAACAACATAAATAAAAAAAAATATGAATGGGTCCAGTAAATATGCACCAATACTCCCATTTTAGTTGACAAGAAAACATCTTTTTGACATGTCTTCTCCAGATGGAGCCATCATCAATTCGTAGAACATATACTTCACTTTCCTTCTTTAGGGGCAAATTTTCTAAAACTTCTAAATTCCATTTTTACCCTTTTCATTGCAGCATAAAGCATAAATTAGTTCTCCAAAGTTAATAAGTGGTAGGCAATCCTACTTATATGACCTAAAGATTTGCTTTGACATCAGGAATTTCCCCAACCTTGAAAATGTCTTCATATTCTTTTAGTAAGGATGTCAGCTGAGTTCCTTTAGTTTCATCAACAGCCATTATGTCTGTCAAATAACTTTAACATATTCTTCTATTCACGACCAACTACAGCATCAAATCGGTTATCTATTTCATGTAGCTTCCCAATACATCGTTGTCCTTTGTTTTTGCAATTCTAAGTCTACTTGCAGTATCAAAAGTCAATAATCTCTATAAAAAACCCCTCAGAAATTTTTTTTAGAAATTAAAATAGTAAAAAATAATATTTATATCTTGAGCCTCGAAATTTAAACGACTTTAGTAACTAACGTCGTACTAAAGTAACTGTTACTTTAGTACGACGTTACTAAGAAAATGTCAAGAAGATATATTATGTGAACATTTATGATCCGCAGTTTCCATAATTGTTAGTTACTCAGTGGGATTTGAAAAGGATACGGTGCGAAGGACTTGCACGGGCCGGCTAGTTTAACAATTAAATGATTTTTATTTTATAACAATTAACTGTGTATAGACATATTGTTTTAAATAATAATCTGCTAAAGATTCTCTCGTTGAAATTAATTTTAGTAAAGCCTCGTTTTTCAAATAATTTGTATTAATATATATTTTGTTTTAATGACTAAAGTATTATGGTCTTTTTTGGAAGATATCTAATCTATGAAAACTTGTGTTCATGGATTCAGAAGGATAAAAATTTAAATGAGGAATTAATTAGTATAATGTTTTTGTTGTTTATAAATAATCTTAAATTTTCAAAATTTAATGTATCTTTCCCTTCAAAGATTACGCTCTTTAAAACATAATTCAGGCTTTTCATGATTCTGTACACGGAATTGTAAAAATACAGTATTTGTTAATACATTTTCAGAGTTGTTTATTTAGTGTTTTAATAATATGCTTTATGTATTATTTAATTCCCTAAGCGAATCGGTCCCCACGAAAACATCTACAGCTAAGAAAAATGTAGCATGGCTGTTAAGATTAATTTTAAAGAATAAGGTCCAAGGACGGCAGGTAAAATATCAGAAGTGTAACAAATTATCCCTGTGCTGCACCACAGGCCACCAAAGATCCAGTCATTTTCTAAAGGAAGTACTGCTACGGTGTTTCTATAAGCTGTTTTAAATATACCAGCTGATGTAAACATTGCGTATTTGTTTGTTTATTGATTTTAGTGATCTTTTTTAAGTTAGAATGGTAATGCAGTGTTGAAATGTATCGTGTTAGGGGAAGACCGCGACTACGAAGTAGAGTATTTAGGAATGGTGCGCAGCATAGAGAATGGCCACATTACAACGGAGGGGAAGGACAGCAATTGCTGCTATGGGTCCCTATTTATTTAAATTAATTATTTTCGTGGATGAATATACTCAATGAAAATACGAGGCCACTAGGAGGGAATGCAAATGCATAGCCTACAAGAACCGTTTTTGACTATTTTACCTAACCCACCATGTTAAACTTCCCTATCCCAAGCGTGATGTATACAACTTCTTTACTTCTCGAGTGATGTAAAGTTAAAAAAAACTCACTCGGTGAGGTAATGAACCCCATTTAAATAACATTGAGTGCTTAACTTAAAAAATATACCTCTATGGAGCCAACGACGTTCAACGCTAGAAATCAGCTGTGCGCTTGAATTTTATTGTTATGTTTTGAAGAATTTTCCTAACCTAGCTTTTGTTTGTAAATGAACGTAACTGTTAAAAGATGAGTGAAATAGATAATGACAAATATTGTTCTTAACCTCCTGTATATTGTCGGGTCAGGTAAAATCTTGTACGTTACACGTTGTGCAAGAGCGTGTTTACATCACTTAGGTAAATTATGCAACTCGCTTCCGCTCGTTGTACAGCATTCACCTTGGTGATGTAAAAATGCTCTTACTACACTTGTAAGGTAAATTACATTATTATTGATTATTGAACAGCTATTACCCTGTTCAGTTTGAAAATAGTTAATATAATTAATTTGTTAACTAAATCTAGTCGATCGTATTTAGGAAATACCTTTATAAATAATAACAGTTATTGATTTTCACAGATAATATTGACAATCAAAAGTTTAACCAACTGGTTACTTAGAAGTAAAACATTTGTATTATTTATAAAATAAGTGCCTTATGGGTTTTCCGATATTTACCAACCATCATGAAAAAAGTGTTATTTATATTTCTATGTTAAACAAAGAATTCAATTGCAGATTCCAAAATGTAATCACTTTTTGTTCCGAGAGGCAAGGAGATCGCATTGAATAATGTAAAGCCTCGTAATACATCTGTAATTCGGCAGCCCGCAGAGACATTCTTTACAAGGGTTCTTGTGCCTCTGTAATAAGTTACTTTAACAGTTTGCACTTCTTATTAATATTTATTTGTGAAAATATAGTTTTAGTTCTATTAACGAGAGGTATATTTTGTTATGACTAAAAGTTTAGATGATGTTAAAGAAATATATATATATATATATTTAGCGAATTTTCCATAGGGAATAAGCTATTACCGTAGGTCCCTAGAGACTAAAAACACCATCCGTTCAAATTTATCTAATATATA